ACCTCTTCACTCCTTCGAGTCTCATATGGGCGGTCTCGAATCCCCGGCATTTCATTGAGTTGATGAGAACCGACACATGATATTCGAGTCGAGTCCCTACATTAATAGGAGCAGCCCCTAGGGAACCCCTTTGCGATCTGAACACTCGATAACGCCGCATTTTTGCGCAAGCATCACGCCCCGCACGATTTTAACTTAAATCAACTCGTCCGTCGGCGAACTCGTCCGGACAACCCCGAATAACAAAACAGACCACACGGATGAATCTGAGACGTCGATTTTAGCTAGGAATGGCACTCATATCACTATGGTTTTGCGTGCGAGCAACTAGCACGAATATCGATGCACATTTTTCTTTATTAGCGATGCGCGGGCCCGGGCTCAACCTAGGTTCGACTCGGGTTCGATTCAGGCTAGAATCGGGCTGAACACGAGCTAGGCACCAGCTCACCTGAATTTGAAATTCAAATTTCAAAATTCAAACAAATTATTTAAATTGTCTTAATTAAAAATATTCATGTGTTAATGATTTCCAATTAATTCTCCTCTGCATATGGAAATCATTTATTTCCTCGACAATTGCTTCGAGAGTAACGGCTCCTGATTAATTGACCCTGCTCCAATTCTAAAAGGAAGGCTCGCCTTTTCCCTCGGCAGTCTGCTCGATTCGGCTCTCCCACTCCCCTGCCCGCTCGCTTCCTCTCAGCTCTGCCGAACCAAGTTCCGGCTCGACTTCCCCGCTCGACAGAAACCCTCTCTTAACACCTTGTTGCGTTGAAGATCCCCATTCGACGCCTGCTCCTTTCGATCCCGCTCCTCCTCTGCGACCTGAACGCAGCTCCCGATCGAAGCTCCTGCTCGCTACTCTTCTATGTGACGGAGACTCGTGCTCGACCAAACTCCCTCCTTTCTCAATGCCAAAGCCCTCGCCTCACTCTGTTCCTCTCGACAGAAGCCTTGCCTTCCCTACTCTCCTTCACCGAAGGCTCCCGTTTCCCCTTTTCCTCACTCCTCAAATCCCAAGATCATCATCTTCCCAAGTAAGATTTCTTATTCGAATTTCTTCTCGTTCAAAAGCTTTGAGCCGACTATGGAAAAAAAAATTTTTTATCATTGCTAACTAAATGATGATGTGAAACTTGTATGCCCCTGGAGGTCAATTGTTGGTAGCTTCTTTTTGCACTGTTATGAGGTTAAGTTAGTTGATGAAGATAAAATGATTTAAGTAATTGTTTGTGATCTACAAAAAACATGTTGCATGATAATATTTATTTTTGTAGTGTGTCTTTATCCACTATCCAACTTTTGCATCTACCATTAATCACTAAACTTTCAATAATTGATAGGATAAGAGTTTTCAAAATACAAATGGCGTAAAGATTTGCTTATGGCAGTTTACTTAAGGATTTGTTATTCAAACCTCTATTATATTTTCATTCGGTCATAATTTGTTGATGTGTTTTGGAAACTCATGTGCTAAGGTTTAGGGTCATAGCTATAATTCATTTCTTTTATCCTGCCTGGAGCAAGTTAACCTTCACTTATGTTTATTGGAGAGAGTCTTGCTCTTAAGTATTTCTTATGTTGTCCTAGTTGCACTTTTACATAGTTTTGGTGAGGGATTTGGGGGCATTATTTATATAGAATTCTTGGATT